AAATTATTGCACATAAAAAGATTAGTAAGATAAAAAATGACTTTGGGTTGGGCGGATTGGAGCCAAAGAAAGAGTGCTATGGCCTTTTTTAAAATTCACATGTTGACCTAAAGGTTAATTATACATTGAAGACTTTTCGTTAGGTTGGCGTAAAGTCAAACTCTGTTTGAAAGCAAGGATTTTAATTAGATGTTTTTTATCCCAGTGTCTTGAATATCAAATGATTTCATGTTTGTTTGAGTAAACTTTTTTATTGATTCTAGAGAACAAAGAAACAAAGACAGAGAATCATCTAGTACATCATTTATTGTCATTAACTGCCTGATTTGCTATTATTGTAATTTAATGTAGTTCACTACAGCTACAATACATACTTTCTATAAAAAATATAGTTTTAAAAAACATTTATTGAAAACAGGTTTAACAAATAATAAAAAAAAAAACATTACTGCAGCTTTAAATCTGACAAACAAGTTAAATAGGGAATCCAACTAAATGTTTACCTGCTTTGCGTTAGCGTCAGCTGACAGGCAGCTAGTAACCGCTTCGTCACGGCGTCTGTAAAAAGCCCTCCATGTGTTCATAGCATCTAAAGCAGAGATGTCAAACACGTTATGCTGGTTAAAATATTCACACTTTAGTTTCACTGCCTGCTCCTCACACCTGCATGCTTCAGATCATGCATTCAATTGAAACTCTTGAGTTTTTAATAGCAAGGTGGTAACAGTGACACTAAGTATGCTAAGAATTTACTACAGCCATTAGGCAGTTCATTAATTAAAAACAATATGTCCTTCTCTCCTGCATGTCTAATTTATAGAGCTGCAGGAAAAAGATGGAAACCGAATCTGACGCGCCTGAGCCGGAGCGTAGACCTCACAAACGATCGCTCCATTTTAATTAGAGACACTTTCCCAATCCTTCGTGGTGTAATATTGTCATACCACTACAATAAATTACATTAAGGTTTACGGCTATAATGTGACAAGATGTTGAAAGGTTGAAGAGGTAGAAAGTACTTCTGCGAGGTTTGTAGCTGGGTTCACATCACACCATGACCCAATAATGAAATTACCTAATCACGCACAAAGACGCTTCACTCGTGTGGGAGGCTGGATGGTTACTTACTTACTATCTGATTAATTCAGCTAATATCATGTGACCACTTGAGTGAGCCTGTAGGGCACTGGAAGCCTCTCTTCACACACCACAGAAACATCCTCTCATGTCTACATGGAAGAAAACTTTCAGGACTTTTGCACAATTGGCAACACAGACAATAGATCAACACCAGCTTGAGCTTAAATTAGAAATGAACCAATCTGATAATATCTGTATCGATCCCAACGTAAAAAAAAAAAAAATAATCGAGATCTGGTATCAGCTGTCATGTTGAGGTCTAACTTCCTAACCCACATGCAGAACAACACCAGAGGCCGAGAATGATTTAAGAGATTTATTACGACAAAGGGGAAAAAAACAGGTGAACAATCCGGGAGCGTTTGGGACTGGATCTCAGGTCAGCTATGGAAGAAACAGACGGTAAGTTTGGGGTCGTGGAAATTTGGAGATGGCGCTGGCTGAGAGCTTACCTCCGATCGGGAGGAGAAAGGACTGGGGGGTAAAACCTGGGAAATCCGGAGTCTGTGTGAGGCGCGGAGGACTGCGAGCTGCGGTGGCGTTGGAGGACGGACAGGTAAGTCTGGAAGCCTGAACTGTTCTGCCAGAAGCAAGGCTGCCGATCTGCAGGTCCGGAAGGGTCCTGGGCTGGATCTGTTTTCAGCACGTCATAGGACAATCCGCTGTAAAAGGTCAGAGACACAAGTGGATCAGAATTTTGGAAGCAAACAAGAAGAGTTGAGCTGAAGTGAGCCTGTACCATAACTGGCTAACAATCTGGCAGGGAAGTGTCAGCAGCCTCCTCCAGTTATACAGCTCCTGATGGCAGAACGGTTTCAGGTGCGTAGGTCAGGAGACGCCCTCAGATGGAACAAAGCCTCCAGCGCCCTCTGGTGGATGAACAGCTCCAGATCCCAACATCAGCCCAATCCATAAGGATGGATCTATTTAATCTAATTCTGTTCTTTGTGCTCTGAGCGTTGGGCTTTATTATTTAATTTCCATTATATTTAGAATTCCTAATTTTACTTTCTGCGCCATTTGACAGAAAGTTTGTTGCAGTTTATTTTTTTACATGTTTGACCAAGAGAGTCAACCTATTGTTTTTGTCAGATTCAGTTTCTTTATTCTTTGGCTGTTAAACTCCTATTAGCACTGACTGAACAAATTAAAGTTGTTTTTACATCAACTTTGTGACGTTACTGGTGTATTTATGTGTGCTGTAGAGGTGCAGCGTTATCAAATAAATTTGTAATTCAGTACATTTATGTCTGTGTTTAAATTAAGAAACATTCGAAATATATTCAGCAATGTTTTTCTGCATTGGATCAGTATTGGCAGATACTAAACCTCAGATATCGATATTGGTATCGGAAGCAGACATTGGCAGACACTGACCATAAGAGCTAATTATCTATCTTCCATAAATGTCCTTAGGACAGACTATAAATACTCTTCACTGGCTGCCTATTTTTAAACCATCCATGGAAGATTCCTTTGAAAGGGAGAACAGAAACTTCAGAGAGTTTAGCAAAGTGCTGAACACAGAGACAGAATGTTGATTTGATGGTTTATCCCCTGGCATTAGTAACAAACAGAAAATGAGTGAGAGGCAGAGTGTTGCCTTCGCAGTTTTATTTATTCCTTTTTTTTCCCTTTTCAACTCAAGGAAATGCATAGCTGACATAAAGACATTAAGGTGTTTTCATAAACATCGGCAGAGTTGAGGTGAAGTCGTTGTCCTGAGTCAGTGAATAAGTGAAAAACAGCCAGAGAATACATCATCATGTGTGTGTGCTTCCGTTAAAGTTTTTCTCCAATTGTTGATATCTTATTGACTGAACCACAAGTTAATTAATATATTTATTGTGTTCTCAAAATGTAGCAGCTGTACCCGGTACAGGTATTCACCTGGCCAGGAATAATTGCACAATTTAAGTAAAAGAGTTTGTAGAAAAAAGGTTTCTGATGTCCTATATTTCTGCAAAGCCATCGTCTGTTTGAGGATTTCTTAGGGAGCTGACCTTTAACATGGTTAGTAACTTGATATCGTCTATATTTGATAGTTCTTTTTCTTGTCACTCTGTTAAATATAAAGGATTTGTACAGTTTCTTTCATCTGATTTCTTTTTTCCATCAAAAACGATGAATGTAGGTCAGTGGAGGCATTTTGTTCGTTCCTTCATCTTTAACGACCTGCTACTGGGAAATATTCAGCCACTGAAACAACCTGGTGACACTTTTGTTTAGAAAAGAGTTAAACCACGACATAAACACTGGACATAAACCTCTGATCTAATCTATCACCTAAGATGAGCTTCTTCACACTTCAGTCAGTTTTCAACAAAATAACTCCCATTGCTTTCAGCCATAAAAGCAGTGGTGAAGATAAGGTAAAAAAAAAAAACTCCAATTCAGTGATTGCACAGAAAAAAAACAGAAGTCTGTGGATTACAAAAAGATGTTGTATATGCTTTGTTTATTTTTCCTAACAAGCTGTTTGCATCTCTGTAGAATGAAATAATTGCTTTGCTTCTCTTGTTTGGCTAAATACCAGCAGACAGGAGCATCTTTTCTCTTCTGATAAGTTATAATATAGATTTTTTTTCTTTTTTTATTTTCCCCCACTTGGCATAGTTTTGTATTCTGCTGAAACAGATATCTTACTTGATATTTAAATACCGTAAAAGTCCCTTTTTTTTGGACAATCTTGAGGAACCAGCAGTGCATCAAGAACAGTGGACATTCATGTCATCTCGCGTCTCTAACCTAACCAGACTCTCGTGTGTGTTGCTGCTGTGTGAACACACACAACTGGCCTCAAGGTCAGCGAGCGACACTTGTAATGGTAAAAGATTGCCTGTCAATACAAGTCAGTCTTCGGCAAGCAGGAGAGCCATCAGGGTCTGGAGAAATAAAGTCTCCTTGTGTGTGTTTCTGAAAAAACAAAAAAACATTTGTTTCCTTACCATTCATCCCGTGTTGTGTGTTGTCGACATCTCAAAGTTCAGTAGAGACGAATTAAGTCAGCTTTGACTTTCACTTCGTTGTCGTGACGAATCATCTGACACGCGGCTGATTGATGGCGTTTTGGTGGTTTGGGTATAGACCGAAGCATTCCCAATGCTCCTCATCAACTAGGTGTTCTGTTTCAGGAAGATTTGTAAAGGGTTTTGTGACAATAACCCAGACGTTCAGTCAACACTCGACTGCAAAACAAGTCAAATCTTCAGTTTAGAAGAGCAGGAGGGCTGCAGGCCTTAAGCATGTTCACCAAACACAACGTTTTCACGAGAATGCTACTTTTGGAGGTGGCCGCAGTCAACATCACCAACATTCAAGAGATTTTTACAGAGCATTTCCAAACAGAGCGTCTGTTTTACTGCTTACACTAAGACTTTACAGGATTGAGAGTAAACAAAACATTGGAAATGCTTGTGCTTCACACACAGACTGATATTAATCAAGAGCAATCAATGCACCATCAACACGAGCGAAACTATGTTAAGATACGTGATCAAGAGAGGCAGTGATTATATCCAACTTCTGATTAAGTGTTTAGATCCATGAGCTCCTCCTTTTACACACTGATCCTCTGTCTGTAGATTCATATTAACACATGAATCTGAATATTTCCTGATCAGAATCACAGCTAGATTTTATATCTTGCATTTCTCGATATTACGGTATATAAATCCTCCCCAAAGAGCTTTTTTTATTTTTTCCTCCTACTGTTTTTTTCTTTTTTGTATGTGTATTTTAGCTTTGATGTCAACATCTCCACCTGCAATTTTGAGGAACACTGGCCTGCGTTGTTCGTTCCGGGTCGTGGATGGAATCTGTTATTTTTTTGCATCTCATTTTGGTTTTGTTTATTGCAGGCTTTCATCTCTGTGAAGTGGGTGATGATTTGACAGCATCAAACTCAAGGTAATGGTTCTGATTGTCTAGTCGAAAGATGGTACACACCTGCAGCACACAGGGATACATTTCAGAATCGTTGTTCTGTCCATGACAGGTTTTAGGACGCGGTATGATTTCCATTCTATTGATTAATATTTTTTAAGGGGAATTTTGCATAGAGAAACATCATAATCCATTTTAATTATGGTTTTGATTTTGTTTATTTTTCGTTCAATGTACCAACTTTACATATTATTACACAAGAAATTGCAAACAACAATTCTTGAGCAAATTGTGAAAGAGAAACAAAAACAATCCAACTCTCGACTGAAGTCAGCGCCAGACTGAGAAGTGATCTTAAGGGAGCAATGCGCCGCACTCAGAAGAGTAAAGAAGCGAGAATCACATACATTACGCCACTTAATCATCAGATGCATTAATGCAAATGAAATGTAATGAATGCAAACTCTGACAATTAAAGCCTGTTTTTAAAATGCATCCATTACGGTTTAAAGTGAATGTGCTCCCATCCCTGGAGGCGGTGGCAGCATCCGTCACCTGGGCTGACAGCCCGCCTGTTGTTCCACGTTCCCTGATGTGACAGATGTGCAGATCGGCCCCCAGTGTGTCGGTCCCAGTAGGTGGCTGAGTACCATTCATCCACCACTACTGAGCCGTGGTTGTTGTAATTAGTGTTGGTTTGCGACACCGGCCTCGCTGAAATAGTTTGGTTGGGGGAAAATAACACAGAAGGCTGTCAGCTATTACAGCCAATTTATGATATGCGTATGTGTTTTAGTTGCTGAGCTGGCAGTGCCGCCGTAGAGACGGCTTTCCTTCCCACTCCATTAGAAACATCAAGTAGATAGCCCTTCTTTTTATTTCTTTAATGTGCTGGATGTGTTATTGTGATACTTAGAAACTCCTAGAACTTAGATCACAAGCAGAATGTAAACAATAGTTTTATATAATACAACTACATGTTAAAGTTTTTTAACACTCTGTGATGAAGTCATTCTCAGTGGGAAATATAGATTTAAATCTTTATCGTGATATTTTGTGGTACTATTGTGATAATGATAAAAGTGACGATACAAACCACTTATACTGCTCCCATTTGTAATACGCTCACCAGAACTGCACCTGGTAGCTGAATTATATATAAAGCATATATCATTTTTTTATTTATTGAAACCCATTTATTGAACAAACAGTGGAGAAAAATTGTAAAAATAATCCAGATAACACAGACCGTTTTACGGGCTTTTAAGCATCATTAACTGGAATTGATTGAGACAATAAATCAAAATCTTATAAAAAATGTATTGCGATAAACGATACGATATGATGTGATAAATTCCCAGCTTTAGAAATGTGATTAAATTTTCGAAGATTCGTTTGAACATTCTGCAGCTGATGAAAACAAGTATGTCATGCGCTGATATTTATGTACACAGATGACCAGTCGGTGCAAAACGGACAATTTAAAAGGACTAAAACAAAAAAGAGAAACATTTAGAAGAGCTGGATTGGGGAAAAAAAGATAGGACCTAAGAAGAGGAGGTGAAGGAAAAGGCAATTTTCTTGGCATGGCCTTATCATCCTTTTGAGGAAATTTAGAAAATTGCCGTATATATTTAGCCACAAAAGATAACAGGAGCTTTATATACACACATACACACTCTTCCCTCAGCAATGCAGTGATTTGCAATACACCAATGATCAAAACAGCTATGTCAGCTGTATCTTCACACACACGCACTGTGGCTGGTTGTTGACAGTTTGGTCTGAAGTAGATTCTGCTCATTAGGTGGTGTTGCAGATTGGTTTCTATTTATAGGCAGCAGTCGGCTCAGCAGTAGCCTCAGCTGCATAGAGGTGTTTGAAGTAGCACAGGCCTCCAGTGGGCCTCGCTAACGAGACGGATCGGCAGTCGATCACTCTCCAAACTGCGCAAGTTCGACCTAAACTTAGCCCGGCGTGGGCATTCAGGCCACTTATTATTGGTGCTGAGTAATATTCTCATTTTTTTAGTCTGGATTCTTTTTTCTTTTCTTTTTTTTTCAGGAGAAAACGTTGATTTAATGGTGTACGCAGTGGCACACACTTTGTTATGGAGAGCACAGAAGGAGAAATGCAGATGTTCTGTTAGAGCTGTTCTTGTTTTCACAAACATTATTAAGCTCCCCTCTGCTGCTTGTATTTATTAGCATAAAAAGGATTGGGATTATTTTTAGCTCATGCAACATACGTGCTTCTGTTGTAGTTTTACTTTTCAAGATGTTTTGTTTTATTATTTTTTTTCTCTTTAACTTCCATTGAAATTCAGATTTCATGCTGCTCATAGTCCTTCCCATACACTGAACTTACTGAGCCAAATGGTCCTTCCATGTATAACGCTGAAGCCTCTGAATTTTGTGAACATGTTTCCATTGTCTCCTTCTCTGTACTTTCTGTGTAGAGGTCACCTTTGCAATTAAGGCCAATTTAAAAGGTTTGTTAGACAGAAAATACTGAACAAAACTGATAAGTGGCTTAACATGATTAATGTGTTTTTGTTTAGCTTTTGTTTAGCGCTTAGCTAACTTTGAAAACGTTTGTTGACAAGTTGTTCTACTAAATTAATTCATACGTATACATTCTGGAGCACTAATCGGCATCTGTGTAGAAGTCTTGCTCATCGACTAAGGAGTAGTTGGACATTTATATTCATGCTCTTATTTTGAAGTGGATAAAGACTGCTTACACAATAGTTCTGTTTTCTGTCCCCGTGTTCTCTCTTTGTATGTTCTTGTATAAGAAGAAGCATACAGGAACAAAAAATGCAGATAGAACTAAATATAAATATAAATAGAATATCTAAGGTACATTTAGATGTATGATGACAAATCCTATATTTTTGAGGTTGATATACCAAATTGTAGCACATGTCCCAATGACACATGCTACAACTTGCACTAGCTTCAACATGTTTGAAATTAGCGCTTTAGCATAATTCAGATAAATACAGTGTTGCTGCAGCACTTTAGCATTAGCGTTAGCCTAACTAATGATTAGTACTTTAGAGTTAGTAAAACTAACTTTACATAATTTCATTTCAGGATCTGTCCTATCTGACCTTTCAGGGTCAATGTCTCATGGACACTTTATTCATTCAGCAATTTGTTTAAGGAATAAGTTTATAGACACCTGTTAGCCACATGCTAATAACTGAGCATTTCTAATGTCCATTGCCATATCGCATGTTTTAAACCTCAATAGTTGTCAAATTTGCTTATACCTGCATCTAAACGCCCAGCACTTTAGCAGAAAGTAAACAGCGATCTGTCTGCTGTTGCAGATCGTATCTGTCATCACTCTTCCTCTTGACGTGTTTGGCATCAACACAAAGCTTTCCAAATAAGTTTAGATTTGACAAGATAATTAGGTCTGATACCATCTTCTTCCACTGCACCAAGTCTCCAAGAACTGCTAATCCTCGCTTTCCTCTCTGCACCGATAAGCAACGGGATAGAAAATGAAATAAGATAAAGTAATTTGTCACACTTTTGGACTGGATTCCCTCTCTGCGGGCTAAAAAAAAAAAAAAGAAAGTGTACATGGTGATGCTTACAGGCCATGATTTTAAAAAAGGGATGCAAATTACTATCCTGAACTTTAAACTTGAAAAATTATTTTTAAAGAAAATAAAAACACATTTAAACCAATCAAATTTTACAAATATGTTAATGATAATCCACATGACTTGATTTGTACAAAACCAAAAACAACTTTCTATTCAGACAATATTAAGGTTGACTACACCTCAGATAGGGAGATTCTTCCCTCCACCATCACAACCTTCTTTCTTATTTTGTGGAGCTACAACGGGAAACTTTGATCACTTTAAGTTTGGGTTTTGTGTGATAGATCAAGACAAAGCACGAAAGCTATGCACAGTTTTTCATTTTTATGTTTTTTCAAAATAAAAACCTGCAGTGTGTGCTGTGCATTTACAATCACGGTTTTTGTTATACCTATAACTGCAACAAATTGAACCAAAAAGTCACCTACTTGAGAATAAAAGTCAATATTTATTTGAAAAAGACATATCCAGACAGATCAGGAAGAGACGTATGGACAAGTTAAACCAGGATTAGGGCTGTTTACCTAAACTGATGCCCAGAACAAGGCCAGCATTAATCAGAGAAGACACCCTTTGAACCTGGAGGAGCTGTAGAGATCTACAGCTCTGCTTGTAGAACCCATTAGTCATGCAAATTTGACCTTCATATAAGAACGAAAAAGAAGCTATTTCAAAGAAAGTCCTGTGTTCAGTTTGCCACAATCCATGGAGGGTTTTCCAAAATTACTAAAGAAAGAGCTTTGATCAGATAACAACTAAATTAAACACTTGGCATATAAGTAGGATGTTATCTGTGGCAAAATGCTAATGCTGAATATTACCATGTACAAACCATCCTTTCGGGGAAACATGGCGGTGTCAACATTTCTCCAAAGTAAAGTTATAGGATGCTAAATGCTAAACAGTTCATCTTTGAGCATGAGAATGATGCTAAACATTCAACCAGAGACTCTGTTAACTGCTTAGATTAAAGTGTATTCAGATGTTAAAACTCAGACCTAAATCTAATTTGAAATCTGCACTCAAAGAAACTATCCACTGATGCTAAGCTTCAGTTATTTTAATGCTGCACTTCTCAGACTTTGAAAACCACATATGGTTTTCCTTGCATTTCAGTGTATCTCTTATCCCATGAAATACACTGAAGGCATTATACATGAATTTTCATACCATCTACAAGGATACAAGAACATTTGAAGCCTGAGTAAAATGTTTATTTGTTGGACGAACACGCAAAATGGCTGCTGTTTGGACAATCGAAACTAATATTCCAAGTGGTTTTTTTTTGTTTTGTTTTTTTTACACAAAATGTCTGCTGCAGTCTCAAAATATTCAACTCCTTCATGACAAGTTTCTATAGTACTTAGTAGAGAACCCTTCTGCTGCAAACTCGATTTATAGC